AGAATTATCCATTCATTAGTCACCTGTTATGAGATAGTAGAGTGACGAGAGACACCGGATACTGCCGAAATCCATTACCTGTACATTTCTTCACCTGATACACACCAGGTGAGGTGGGCGGTTAACACGACCCCGTTGGTTTTCTATGTGGACAATGAGTCGTTTTTATAATCTCGCCAATTCATTGTAGTTGATGTGTAATTGATCATTTTACGCGGATGATTAGGGATGATAAGTCATGTTTGTAGTTGGCAAAATTCGATGGAATTTATCGCTAAATATCAAATATCAGGAAAGTGAGGCGTAGGGGTGGGGGTAGGGGAGTTAAAATACGACGCATGGTTATAGTAAGAAAATTGGTATTCCTGAGTGATATTAACATATCAAAAGTTAAATATCTTACATAATTTATTATGACTTCAATGGGGGAAATCTTCATATTTGGGAAAGCACGTACTTTGCAATGTTATGTTTTAGAGAAATACATACATAGTTCAATGTTTTGTGTGACATGAAGGTGGGTGTCATAATTCACCAAGATTTAAAAAAGAACGGGGTGAAGCATGTACGGGGCTGTAATGACATGTATGGGGCAGTAATGGCATGTACGGGGCTGTAATGATATGTATGGGGCAGTGATGGCATGTACGGGGCTGTAATGACATGTATGGGGCTGTAATGACATGTACGGGGCTGTAATGATATGTATGGGGCAGTAATGGCATGTACGGGGCTGTAATGATATGTACGGGGCTGTAATGACATGTATGGGGCAGTAATGGCATGTACGGGGCTGTAATGACATGTATGGGACTGTAATGACATGTACGGGGCTGTAATGACATGTATGGGGCAGTAATGGCATGTACGGGGCTGTAATGAAATGTATGGGGCAGTAATGGCATGTACGGGGCTGTAATGATATGTATGGGGCAGTGATGGCATGTACGGGGCTGTAATGATATGTATGGGGCAGTGATGGCATGTACGGGGCTGTAATGACATGTATGGGGCAGTGATGGCATGTACGGGGCTGTAATGACATGTATGGGGCTGTAATGACATGTACGGGGCTGTAATGATATGTATGGGGCAGTAATGGCATGTACGGGGCTGTAATGATATGTACGGGGCTGTAATGACATGTATGGGGCAGTAATGGCATGTACGGGGCTGTAATGACATGTATGGGGCTGTAATGACATGTACGGGGCTGTAATGACATGTATGGGGCAGTAATGGCATGTACGGGGCTGTAATGAAATGTATGGGGCTGTAATGACATGTACGGGGCTGTAATGACATGTATGGGGCTGTAATGACATGTACGGGGCTGTAATGATATGTACGGGGCTGTAATGACATGTACGGGGCTGTAATGACATGTATGGGGCTGTAATGACATGTACGGGGCTGTAATGATATGATGCTCTATTGCAAACTTTAAGCAGACGAACGCTATTTTTTGTTCTGATGTGTGTATGTCCTTTTCTTTATTCACTGTTCCCTCGATATTTTCATTTTATGTATTATACAAATTATATCTTGTTACCCATATGCATATTCATAACCCCGCCCCTCCCTTCCCCGCCCCTCCCCTCTCCTCTCCGACCCGACCCGATATCTTACTATCTCTCCCGCCGTCATTGATTGTCTGTGATTTTAAGAAGTTCTCCTCCATTTTTCTACATTTCAAAGAGGACTAAATCCACTTAATGGAGACGAAGATGACCTTGACCGCTCCGTGTCGTGTCCGTTCCGTGCACTGGTACGGTACCTCACAGAGACTGCCCGGAAAGACATTTGATACATATAGACTCAGACGGAATGCATTTCGGCCAGTGGTCACCAGGAATGTCACTCATTTGCTTATGTTTAATTGGGATTAACACCACGAGGATTTGCCCCACTAACACACAAGTATATCATGCGCAATGTAATCTTATTGTTCAGGCAAGTGTCACAGAGAATGTCAATATTGATTACTTTTGTTTAAATCGACTCGGATTTGTTTTTTGTTTATGTAAGTCCACCCAGGTTTGACCGGAGGGTATGTGGTTAGTTGTTTTCTAATATGATTTCAAATATATCAGCTCACTTCCGTTATAACTCTCCAGCCCCCTTCTTATACAGTAGAACTCAACTAATCCGTACAGGCCAGAAAAACTCTGTAAAATGGCAATGTTTGTCAGGTGACAGGTATAGTCCAGGTATTCGAGAGAAATGTCTTGATATATTTTCATACCAGACCACATGTTGGCTTTACTTTCCGCCATCATATGATATAACGCCCGAACGTCCAGTTGACGATTTCTGTCAACTGGACGTTATTTTCTCTGTGAATGATGCTTGTTAAATAAGGCAATATGTGATAAAAACAAGAGAACCAGGACAAGTTTGTTCTCCTGGAATATAGGAGAAATATATTCAACGTCAAAGAGACAAATACAACTCTCGGGTAAAATTCCGTAAACCTATGTAATTCTGCAAACGTTCAGCACTAGGCCAGTAACTGTATCGCCATACAGGGTAAGGGAAAAAATGGTAGTGATGGTAAAAATAACCCGATTTTGTTGTAACAAGGGTTACTCCGATTCTGTAGACTCTCTTATTGTCTGATTCATGTACACACACTCTCTCTCTCATGAGTAAAGTCGCTTCTCAGATCATGACATAGGTAACAGGTATGTTCTTTTCTTGGTTGCCAGCATACATATTTGGACATACAAACGCCTGAGTCCGTATCCAAGTTTTTAGGGTGCAAGCCTTGAGCGCAAAAATTAAAACCGCTTGAGACGAATTTCATAAAATATCACATGGATGCAAAAAAGATGAAATATACTTTTTACAAATATTACATAAATCTTGATAGATACATATTTACAAGTTTTAAAGCCAAAAAGTGGAGGAGAAAACCAAACATATGCAGCCATTCTGTTGCGTCATTTTAAATTGATGACGTAACGGCATTGTCCACATCATGACATCACAATGGATTTCTGAGGGACGCAGTCACTAAAAAAAGCTCCAGGGTATATAACACTCATAATGTATACACAAACTTATTTATATTATGGGCTAATTCACTGGAAAAGAGCTGGAATACCTGATAAAAAATTCTGTGTACATGTATTCCGACTAAAAATATACAGGAACTTGAAAATTCCTGCGCTAAACTTAAATCTAATTTAGCCTAAAGTTTATTTATTCTGAGTAGTTTTCTCCTGGGAAATAACAAATGACTTGTCACCAGTTGTCTACAAATTAACATTTGTATTTTTAACAATTTAACACTGTTGTAACAGTGCTTAATTAGAACACGGCCTGTCATGTAACAAGTATAGTATTTATTGTTTGTCAGTAGATGTCCTAAAATAGAAACAATCAGGACATGTCTGTAAAATTAGGATGCATGTATTTTAAACAGACGACTCGGGATGCAGACATGTTTTCAAAAAATCACCAGCGTTATCTTTGCAATGTTTTACCAATATTCCTTGCACAATAAAAGCTATAGACAGAACTAGATGTCTCTCAACGACGTTCTGACATTTTCCCTTGTGCTGTTTTTTCGTTGTCTGATCGCTTGTTGCCAACAACTTTCAATCTTCATCCAGACGAGTCGTTCTTTACACTCTGGGAACGATAAAAAGGTAAACCATTCACCAGTGTGATTATTATGATCATTTCAAATCCGACACAGATAGGTTCAAGGTTTGACATTGTTTTATTATGTTGTTATATGTCAAAAGTCAGACTCCGTTGTTATCTTGTATCCGGGGGTTGGGTGGGGTGGGGTACAAAATCTTTACCTAGGTTACGTAGGTACAGAATCTTTACCTGAGGTTACGTAGGTAAAGAATCTTTACCTGAGGTTACGTAGGTACAGTATCTTTACCTGAGGTTACGTAGGTACAGAATCTTTACCTGGGGTTACGTAGGTTCATGACCTTTACCTTAGGTTACGTAGGTACAGTATCTTTACCTGAGGTCACGTAGTTACATGACCTTTACCTGAGGTTACGTAGGTTATGACCTTTACCTGAGGTTACGTAGGTACAGAATCTTTACCTGAGGTTACGTAGGTACAGAATCTTTACCTGAGGTTACGTAAGTTCATGATCTTTACCTGAGGTTACGTAGGTCATGACCTTTACCTGAGGTTACGTAGGTACAGAATTTTTACCTGAGGTTACGTATCATTACCTCATGTTATATAGGCACAACGCTTTACCAACTGAGCTTATTTTCACTCCTGCTTCAACACATTTTCAATTTGTTATTAGCAGATTTCTGTTCACTATTTGGCCTAAGGTCATTGCGCGTGAAAGGGTGACTAGTCTTTCGCCCAAGAGCTAACGAGATCTCCTTAGCCGAGTGGTATATCACAGATAGCATTCACCAGGGTTACATATCCGATTTAATTACCTACAATAAGTGTCTATATCACGTGCGTTATTTACCTGTACAAAACACACACGCGACAATTCACACGTCAAGCGGACAATCCTTTGATAAAAAGATAGTGTTGTTCAACAACTTTCACTTAATAGGAAGGGCGATTGTGTAACACATGGGATTATCCTTCATTAAGGACGATTAAACGCGATCTTAGAGAGAGAGCTCTGTAAAATACGGTCGATTTTTGTCCGGGTATTATTTGCCTATAAACATGTCATTCACAACAAACTAATGTCTGGAATACATCATTTGTATACAACCATATGAAAGTTTGACAAGAGTCCAGCTGTCTATCATGCCGGTAGTATGTGTATCTCTGTAAGGGCACTACACGCTCCAGAACACACGATTCTATTGGTGAGACTAGCGAGGCGTGGAGAAAAATCAGGTAGCTTGTATTACCTATGTACCTATTATAGTAAGAAATAGGCCAGTTGTGTTGTAGAGGTGGATAGGAATGCTGTGTCGAGTCTCTGTCTGTTTTGTGTACAGGTCCGGCGTTAACTACCACAGAAAGTGACTGCGCACCTGTTAGAATAATGGACCTTAATTATAATTTGAATGCCAACCTGAACACCTCTGGTGGCTATAGCGCAATGCCATCACAACAGAGTAATGCTGGCACGTCCATGTGGATCGGGAGCTACCCGTCCCAGCAGCAGCTGCAGCAGTTGTCAGGCCAAATGGCTAATGTTAACATGGCCGATACCGGCACCAACTATCTGGATGCTTATATGGCTATATCACAACAAAATGGCATTGGAGTGTCTGCTAACACACCCAACAGGGACTTTTATGTGACCTCTGTGCAACAAGCTCCACCGGGTGGTATAAACACTACTATCGCCAACAGTAATAATTATGCAGATTTGCAGGCGGCTGCAAGACTTGCCAACCAACCATTGTCACCAACACTAGATTTTGAAATGGCACAAGTTGGGATGATGACAACAGAACAGCAACTCGCTCTCCTGTCAGAGTTACAGCGCAAAAACGCAGCAGCTGGTCTGATTTCGCCACCATTCTCACCACCCGCTTACCCGAACAACCAACAACCACAGATGCCAAAGCAATACGTGGTAACGAGTAACATAAGTGCCGGTTCTGTCCCGATTTCGCCCTCCTACACGGAATCCGGCTCGGCACCACAGACTCCAACGTCCGAGAGATTTGAAACCTCGGTCCCTGCCAAATCTAGCTCTCCAGAGAGTACCGGAAGTAATCTGCATCAGCGATCCTTTACGATTTCTGAAACAAGTAGTACTACGTCATCAACATCAGTGCCTGGATCACCAACTTGTGGTATGTCTTCTGTTCATGATGATGTCATAGACTCGCCGCGACTTACTAGATCACCTTCAACACCACATAGACCTATAAAAACTACACACGTTCCGATTCGATCTAAATCACTTAAATTCGATGTGAAATTCCCACAGGACAAATGCCACAAATGTTTAAAGAAGGTGTATAAGGTCGAAAGTGTAGGTCCTGTAAAAGGAGCCGTCTATCACAACACGTGCTTTACATGCAAGGCATGCAAAACTAAACTAACTTTGAAAAATTATTGTTTGAACCAAAATGACAAATACGATGTTTCTGTTTATTGTAAATCGCATCAACCAACTATAACGGACAAGGGAAGCCATCTCGATGCCAACTCCATCCTCATCAAAGGAGCCATGAGTGTACCGAAACTCGACAAAGTCAATGAGCAAATCAAGGTTAACAAAAATAGCAAGTATCATATGGACGCGAACTCTCTGGACATTTCTCACGCGCGGAATGTACCTGCAACTGATCTACAGACGGGAAATAAAGTGAAAGCCAAGGCTTGGAAGAAACAGGACAGGACATTGGACATCGTTCCTCCTCGAGATGTTATACGTCATTGTGACGTAGTGCCAGAGTATGACGTAGATGAATACGAGCACGCGCTTGTGGAACAACAGCCGGACTACCATGGTGCGCGTTACTAAGTGGATAAGTGGTATTTGTGCCTTGTTGGACTGTACATCTGCCTTGTATATGGTACTGATATATTAGTCCAGGTAAAAGTAATGGAATATTTCATCATTATGTAAGTTCTCTATTCCTGTAACACTTTTGTCGTACCGTTTTGTGCTTATCAGTGCCTCGTTTCGGGTATATTTACAAAATATGTACAAATATAAATATATAATGTATTTCCCTTTACAAGTCACGACGATAATGTGACATGGGTTTAGGGTTCTGTATTATTTATATATAAATACTCACTATATTAAACACTGCCTTTTTGGGTGGAGTGAACACACGTGCTTTCAAAGATGATAGAAAAGAGTAACGAAAGTGACGTTTAAAAATAATCGCTCGAATATCTTGACGAATCAAATCAACTTTTTATTTTCAATCAAAGTCGGATATCTGTTCCTCGGTCGTATTATCAACGTCATTGTTTAGTTGATATTTACAAAATACTCAACCACTGATTGGTATTATTGTTGTCGACATAGATTTTACCAGATCGATATGCCTCTACTACATCTTCGCGTGAGAATGGTAAATGAAGCGTATGATGTGGGTATCATGGTGTAATAATCGAGCGTATTCGTATATGCAACGTACGTTGTTTGGTATACTGTATAGATGAACTAGTGTTAAAAAAACCTAGAATGTTGGGATTATACAGGTTGCCTAAAGCTCCTCTTCACGTGCGTCAATATTGCTTTACTGTGTAATGTTTCCGAAGTACTATTGTATCAGTAGTATTTCAAAACTGTTTGTTCGAACACCAGAGGTTTCGGATTACGTGTAAACTAAGCTGTATTTACTGCAGAGGTGTTATCGTAAAAAAATTCATATCCAGACAGCACAGACTGCGGACAACATACAAACCAATCTCTGGGTATTGTAAAAACTTTGATATCCAGACAACACAGGCTTCGGATTACATAATTTTGGCTTTTAAAGTGTCGCCGTACATTCTAACTTGGGTGTCCGGAATACACAGGTCTCTTGCTCAGGAATTGGTTCTGTTTCATGGAGATACAAAATAAATTGTCAACTGCTGAGATGTTAGTGAACATGTGCGCACAAGATAGTTCCGGAAATACCAGTGATCCTGGATACCCAGTTTTGGTGTTTGTTACGGAATGCACATGACATCAGCTTGTCCGAATAACAAAGGTTAAAGTGTCAACACTCTTTAGAACGTCTCGACTTGTGAAGTTTCGTTTTTTGACCGGAGTACCCACGTTACGGTTTATATAGAAGCTGATGTGTCCATACTACCAATGTTTTACTATATTTATTTATATATCATTGTAATGTACGTTTAACGACATTCAATAATGACTTTGTGATGGAACACGTGTTTGTCCTCACGGTAATATGATACTCAATAATGATGCAATACATAAGCACTTGATTAAAACCAGTTATAATAAGTCTAACAGTTTTGTCTGGTCTTTGATGAAAAAAATCTTCACTTCAAGTGACATATTTAAAACAAAAGAAAAACAGGTGTTTTTTGTTTGTTTACTTCAGCACTTGACCTACAAAATGTGAATGTACAGCTCTCAGTTTCATTAGTAATAATCCTGGCGGCCTGTCTCTGGGAATCATTCACGGTTGATAAGAGACTTTTGATGTGCAGGATAATATATTGATGGTATGTCGTTACCGCTGACCGTTATAACAAGTTAGTGAAGGTGACACCTGGTTCTATAACTGATGTGTTTCCTATAATTAGCACAGTAGTCCTTTGTGTCGTATTACAGAGGAATGCTGAGAATGTTAAAAGGTTGTTTATACATCTCAAACAACAACACACAAGTAATATTAGATATATAATTGCTTTAGTACACACAGAAAACTGCCCCCTAGGAAATAGGATGTGCCACACGGACATATAGCGAATTCGTCAACTCGCCAGTATATATCGTGTATCACAAGATACCAGTACACAGTGTATCACAAGATACCAGTACATAGTGTATCACAAGATACCAGTACATAGTGTATCACAAGATACCAGTACATAGTGTATCACAAGGTATCAGTACATAGTGTATCACAAGATACATAGTGTATCACAAGATACATAGTGTATCAAAAGATACCAGTATACAGTGTATCACAAGATATATAGTGTATCACAAGATACATAGTGTATCAAAAGATACCAGTATATAGTGTATCACAAGATACCAGTACATAGTGTATCAAAAGATACCAGTATAAAGTGTATCACAAGGTATCAGTACATAGTGTATCCCAAGATACATAGTGTATCAAAAGATACCAGTACATAGTGTATCACAAGATACCAGTACATAGTGTATTCCAAGATACCAGTACATAGTGTATTCCAAGATACCAGTACATAGTGTATCACAAGATACCAGTACATAGTGCATCACAAGATACATAGTGTATCACCATATTGTATCACAAGATACCAGTACATAGTGTATCACAAAATACATAGTGTATCACCATATTGTATCACAAGATACCAGTACAAAGTGTATCACAAGATATATAGTGTATCACAAGATACCATAACATAGTGTATCACAATATACCAGTACATAGTGTATCACAAGATACCAGTACAAAGTGTATCACAAGATATATAGTGTATCACAAGATACCATAACATAGTGTATCACAATATACCAGTACATAGTGTATCACAAGATACCAGTACAAAGTGTATCACAAGATATATAGTGTATCACAAGATACCATAACATAGTGTATCACAATATACCAGTACATAGTGTATCACAAGATAACAGTACATAGTGTATCACAAGATACCAGTACATAGTGTATTCCAAGATACCAGTACATAGTGTATCCCAAGATACCAGTACATAGTGTATCACAAGATATTAGTACATAGTGTATCACAAGATACCAGTACAAAGTGTATCTCAAGATACCAGTACATAGAGTATCACAAGATACATAGTGTATCAAAAGATACCAGTATATAGTGTATCACAAGGTATCAGTACATAGTGTATCACAATATACCAGTACATAGTGTATCACAATATACCAGTACATAGTGTATCACAATATACCAGTATATAGTGTATCACAAGGTATCAGTACATAGTGTATCCCAAGATACCAGTATATAGTGTATCACAAGATACATCTACACAGTGTATCACAAGATAACAGTACACAGTGTATCCCAAGATATATTTACATAGTGTATCAAAAGATACCAGTACATAGTGTATCACAAGATACATAGTGTATCAAAAGATACCAGTACATAGTGTATCAAAAGATACCAGTACAAAGTGTATCACAAGATACATAGTGTATCAAAAGATACCAGTACATAGTGTATCACAACATACCAGTATATAGTGTATCACAAGGTATCAGTATATAGTGTAATACAATATACCAGTACATAGTGTATCACAAGATACCAGTATATAGTGTATTTACATAGGATGTGTTTATGATATCAGGGATAAAAAGATACCATGTGTATATCAGGGATAAGTTAGGACTTGTTATGATATTAGTGTAATCACAATGTGTTATGATATTAGGATGTGTTAGTATATAGTGTAATACAATGTGTTATGATATCGGTCAGGGATAGTTAGGATAGTGTATCACATGTGTTATGATATCGGTCAGGGTAATATGTGTGATATCGGTCAGGGATAATGTTAGGGATAAGTTGTGTATGATGTGTTATGATAGTCGGTCAGGGATAAGTTAGGATGTGTTATGATATCGGTCAGGGATAAGTTAGGATGTGTTATGATATCGGTCAGGGATAAGTTAGGATGTGTTATGATATTGGTCAGGGATAAGTTAGGATGTGTTATGATATCGGTCAGGGATAAGTTAGGATGTGTTATGATATCGGTCAGGGATAAGTTAGAATGTGTTATGATATCGGTCAGGGATAAGTTAAGATGTGTTATGATATCGGTCAGGGATAAGTTAGGATGTGTTATGATATCGGTCAGGGATAAGTTAGGATGTGTTATGATATCGGTCAGGGATAAGTTAGGATGTGTTATGATATCGGTCAGGGATAAGTTAGGATGTGTTATGATATCGGTCAGGGATAAGTAAGGATGTGTTATATAGGCTCCTTCTAAAGTACATAGTAAATTGAATCACAGACATCTGTTGTAGACGTCTCCGATCGATATAATCAGTGCTTTTATAAACAATTTAAGTGTTCTTAAGTTTTATTGACATCAATATGGGTATGTGTTACCATACAGTGGTCAATTTATTACTATCATAAAGATAGGACTATAAGAAAAGAATGGTGACGTAACAGAACTGACCTGGTCAGGCAACTGTCTACATCACCTGGTCAGGTAAAGATTAACCTGACAAAGATGTCGCACACTCCTTACCCTGCAGACATATGTTTCGTCCAGTCACTTAGCATCACCTCTCTAGCACAATCCCTTGGCTGGAGGCTGAACGTCGATCAATTAGTTTATTGTAACTACATATATGTGTATCTTTGTCCCGACGCCAGGTGTGGACAATTCACCTGAAGGAGATACCACCTACATGACAGTCTCTCTGACTTACCTGTCTTAGAGAGAGATTGCTTCTGTTATTTAACAATGTTTGTTTGTGATATTGTACGTTTGTGTAATGAATTTGATAAATGAAATAACTTGACAAGAAAAATAGAATCTGTTAGTGACACGAAGCAGGAATGCTACCCAATGACAGCACAGAGGGGATCGGTGTTATCACATCTGTGATATCATCACAGAGATATGAAGAGTGGGAGGTCAATTTCCTGATGAGTACCTGGTTATACCATCAGTGAATCGTCAAAAAGCGAAATCAACATGTACATGTAACATAAATAATGTATTTACATGTAGGTGTAACATAAATAATGTATTTACAGGCAGGTGTAACATAAATAATGTATTTACATTAGGTGTAACATAAGTAATGTATTTACATGTAGGTGTAA